GGCTGCGGCTGTGAGAGGGCCGGCTCGTGCCCAGAGACCCCACCTGTGCTGCCCTTCGGTTCTCCCCCGGCAGCCTGGGAACCACCATTTTTTCTGTACTATCTCTATTGCCTCTCCTCAGCTCTGCTTTCCTGTAGGTGACCCAGTCTCTGGTGTACCCAGAGAAGCAGAACAAGCAGGGGAGTGTGTGGGATCCCACACCAGTACCCATTGTGTGTCCACAGGGCATGGGTGTGGAAGGGACACGTGATCTGGCCATACCATCCTTGGATCCAGGGTTGGCATCCCAACAGGCAGCTCAGGATCGCCTGAGCTTCCTCCTGCTCTGCATTTTCAGTTCAGGCTGCAGCCATACATCCCTGCATGCATTCACTCCTGAGGCAGCAGCCCAGGGAAGCGCTCAGCTGGACCCTCTTCTGGAAACCATTTACTCTCTTGGTATCCACAACCATTCCTGGCTCCTGGGGCCTGTCTACTGGCACAACCCCGTGGCACGGACACCCTGTGCAAAGCCCCCATTCACATCTTTGTGAGGAAGGCACGGGGACATCCCTGGGATGTTTGGGCTGTGGCAGGCTGCAGGGGTTGAAGACTTCCCAGTGGGAGTGAAGAGGCCAGCTAGTGCAGTGCTCCAGTCCCCCTGCTGAGATGGTGGGTGCAGGGTGCTGGCAGGCCTTGAGTGCAGGGCTGCGATGCTGGGGTGCATGCAGGGGCTCAGGTGTAATGTCAGGACATGCAAGCCAGGCACAGCTGGGGCAGAGGTGGCTGTGGCAGGAGGAGAGGCATGCAGACTCACCAGAGCAAGGATGGTGGGAGCTAGTTAATACCCAGCACATGAAACCATCTGAAAGCTTCAGCTGAGGCACTAGGAGCAGGCACCAGGTTGAGTGCATGAAGGCAATGCTATGTGCTGGAGCGTGGCCATGCCACTGGGACCCAGGTTCCCCTCTGGTGGCCTGACTCTGCTCCCTCCATCCCCAGGTGGCTGAACACACTGGGCTTGCTGGCCAGCCAGGGCATCGATGTGGTGGTGCGGCACTCCTTCCTTGACCACGGCCACAACCACCTGGTGGACCAGAACTTCAACCCCTTGCCGGTAGGTCTGTCTGGGGGCATCTTCATCTAGTGCCCAGGGACAGTAGCATGGGAGGGGGCTGGTGCTACTGAGAGGTGCCAGCATGAAGAGTTGGAGAGAGGGAAGGATGTGGCAGGACCACCACACATGGCACGGAGCAGGCAGCCAGATCACTGGTGGTGCACTGGCCTTGGAGAAACCATGCTGGAGCCTCAGTACCCAACTTCAGATTACTATGAACTGAGGTATTCAAAGGCATTCCTGGCTTCAGAAGGAGCAGCAGTCCTCACTAGTGCCCCACAGCACACCTCGCTCTTCAAAAACGCCTGGGCAAGGGGTAATTCCCAGCACACATGGTGCTGATAAAGTAACTCTATGAAAACCACTATTAAAAGTGGCAGCTTTCTTCTTCATCCTTTTTTTGGGGGAATAGTACATACCCTGCTTTGTAAGCAGAGAGCCTGGCAGAGCAGCTGGGTGTTCTGCATTGCCCCTGGAAGGGATTTATGGGGCCATGACCCAGCAGATGCTGCTAGCGGGGTGGGGATCTGTGTTGCAGAGGTGCACAACTCTGCTGCTGTCAACCTGCCTTTGACACTGCACTGGGGTCTTGTGGGGTGGCTGCAGGGGGGCAGAGGCTGAGGGAGCCACGTCTCAATCCGCTCTACCTGCTCAGCCAGTGACAACAGCATCCCTGAAACCGCATCCCTGAGCATAGTGGAGGGAACGGGAGGTGTCAGTGACATAAGGTCTGCACTAATCCCCCCAGCATGGCCTGGGAGGGCGCTCTGGAGAGGAAACGAGTGAGCAGGAGAGCGTGGTCCCCTGCCCACGGTGCTCCGGGTGCTGCTGGAGCACCCCAGGCTGCCCCCACAAGCATTCCTCCTGCAAGCGTACCTGCGAGCTCTGGATTGAGATGAACCTGAGCCTGGCGCAAGTTCTTGATGGATTTGTTCTGAAGAGCCAATTCCCATGGCCAAGCCACTTCCCCCGGCCAAGCCACTTCCCCCGCCTCCCCAGGGCCTCGGAGTTTCCCCTGAGTTGCTCCCGCTTGGAGGGGTGCAGGCAGACCCTGCCCATCACGTGCATAGGGGCAGTAGGTGGCCCATGGCCAGCTCACCTGGCACACTGCGGGCAGTGGATGGCCCATGGCCAGCTCTCCTGGCACAGCAGGGGCAGCGGCCCTGGAGCGGCTGGAGCAGGCGTGCAGTCAGGAGCAGGATTAAAGCCAGGGAAGGACTTCGAGGAATAAACCCCAGGCTGTTAAAATGGAGGTCTTTAAAATGGATTTTGCTGTTGTTTTAAAGATAAGTTTCCCAGTAATTTAGATGCCACCTCTCTCATGGCTGTTTCCTTGCTCTCCCACACGTTTAATGTTTATCTCTTTCCCACATCCCATCTGCACAAACTCCAGGGGTTGCTTCTCTGTCCCCTTTCCCTCCACTCCTGTGCTTTCAAAGAGCCATGGGCAGGTGGAAAACAACAGAGGGTTCAAAAGCTGCAGACACCAAAAAGCCCAGTGAGACCAGACTGTGACCTGCTTTGCGGGGTAGCAGCTGCTCTTTTCCCATGGGAGCTATCAGGGAGTTGAAAGGCGCTTCATGGTCCAGGGATGGGCTTCATGTCTAAAACCAAGTGATGTGTAGTCCATCATTGTACGAGCACTGTGCTGCTGCCACAGGAGCCCAGCTCCTTGTCCTATAGCTGGGCCTCTTGGATGTTGCTGGTCTCACCATAGAATGGGGGACCTTATAGAAGGGACCTTAAAGATCATCTGGCTCCAACCCCCTCACCATTGGCAGGGACACCTCCCACTAGACCAGGTTGCTCAAAGCCTTGTCCAACCTGGCCTTGAGCACTGCCAAGGAAGGGGCATCCACAGCTTCTTCAGGCAACCTGTTCCAGTGTCTCACCACCCTCACAGAAGATAACTTCTTCCTAATACCTAAATCTACTCTCTTTTAATTTAAAACCATTACACCTCATCCTATCACTACACTCCGTGATAAAATGTCCCTCCCCACCTTTCCTGTAGGCCTTCTTTAAGTACTGCAAGGCTGCTATAAGGTCTCCCCAGAGCCTTCTCTTCGCTAGGCTAAACAACCTAGGCTCATGTTAGTACTGTCTGTCTTAGGGCATGTTACAGTGGATAGTATAAGGAAGGTCATAAAATGGAGGGGGTGTGCCATGTTTGGGGATCGGGGAATGCAGATAACAAGGATTGCTTGGTGGGCAGCACTTCTAAATCACCACATTTCTTTCTGCCTCTCCCCTGGAACTGCAGCACTGTGGGGATTTGTTATGTATGGGGGAAGGAGCAGGCAAATCACTGTACTGCTCTACATATAGCAGTGCATCTCTCTGAGCCTCCTTCCAGGTGCAGGTGTGAGGAAACGGGTTTCTCTTGCTGGACTGATGGGTTGCAAAGCAGGAAAAACTGGGCCTGGGCATGGGGGCGATCAGACTGGGGAACAGAAATGTTCCTAGTGACCTTAATGCAACCAAGCTCAAGTGTTTTAATGCCTTGTTATTTTTGAGATAACTTTTCCATTTATCATTGGAGTACTTTTTCTTCCTGAGTGACTGGGGCAGCCAGCTGTAGAATAATCAGGGCTTGTGCCTGAGAAGCCCTTCAAATAAAGCCTCTCACGGGTACGTCAGTCTGCCCGCTTGCATTCCAACTCATCTGTATGTGTGTAGGAATGAGGAGAAGAGGAAAGGAGAGCAGTAGCAGCCCCAGTACTCACCCTTCACAGGGCAGTAGCTTTGAAATGCCACTCTGGCATTTAGTAGCTCTGGGTTCATTTCACGCCAACAGTGTAGATGGTCCATCTCTCTTTCCTTAATATTGCTCTGAGACAGTCCAGAGGGATGCGATGCCCTTATTTCATTGGAGAGCCCTCGAAGTAGGTGTGAACTTTCTCTTCAGATTGTTAGAGCATGTTAAAGATCTTTCTGAATGCTTTTCCACGTGGCACTCGCCACTTTTTTATCCATCCTTGGTGGTGATTTCTGCTCCCTTCACATGCAGTGCTATAAGTTTATACCTATGCAAGGAAAAATTTGAGCATATTTCTAGGCAGGGCCTGAGCAACATAAGCCATAAGGAAAAGCTAAAGCTGAAATCCAGACTTCATCTCCTGAAAACTGTGTCTCCTGTTGGACCTTCTCCTAAAAACCGTATATGGTGAGATAGTTCATTCTCCTGGGTTAAGTAGATGCTTCTGCACAGAAGTTTCATATGGAGCATGCAAAAGGCCCAGAGGGATCACAGGGTGAAGTGATGGCAGGAGCTGCCTGCTCAGCTGTGGTAGCAGACAACAGTATGATATTGGCTGTGCATTGATGGTGTCCTTGAGAAGCCGTCGCAACAGCACGGAGGTCTGTGCCTGACAGTGCCGTGGTTGGATGCTTGGGTGCTGCAGGTGATTTTTCACCTCTTTGCTTAGCCCAAAGGTGCGGAGCAACTGGATGGGAAAGTTACTGCCTGTCTTGGAGAAGGGAGGGGCCTGGGTTCATATCGGGTCTGTCCGTAGTGATCTGTCCCCTTTCTCCCCAGGTTTTCATAAAAGCCCTGGTGTGAACGAACTCAGTGCCAGGCTGTGGAAATCATCAGCATCCCTTGGCATCACTAGGGCAGAGCTGTGGTGAGAGCTATGGCCATGGGCTACACCTCCTGATTCGGTGCCCACTCGGCCCATCCTGATCACCTCCCCAGCAGGGCACGTGCTGGGCCCCTCAGTCTCCAGGGCCTGCTGGCAAGGTGCTGCACCGGGTGCCAGGGGCAGGAGCGGGTCCCCAAGCCATGCTCCCACCCACACACATACGCGCTCCCCAGTAGACTCGTTAGCTGAGCTGGCTTGGCCGGAGGCACTGCTAATTGCAGCTGGAGGTCCCAGCCGTCTTCCCAGACGGTGCCTCTCCCGCCTCTGTGCTGAGCGGGAGGGGGCCCTCCCAAGGCCAGGGCTATGAGGGTCAGGTCCTCACCCACCTGCGCCCATCCCCACCCTGCAGTCTACTCGCCCAGTGGCTCCCCGGCTGCTGGATTGGACAGTGTTCAAGAGGAGGCCCGGCATCCACATGGGGAAGCATACGGAGAGCCCTTTCCCGAAAGCACTCACGCTCCCACCACTGAGCCCGGCCAGCTGGCTGTGGGGCCGGAGGAATTCAGCCCCACTGCTGCGCTGGCCCATCTGCACGCCCAGCACTGAGTCACCACGCTGCACACACACGGCCAACCGGGCTGCCAGGGGTAGGTCCGCGGCTGCTGTTCCCCCTGGCAGGGACTCTCAGCTTTGGGGAGAGGGCGGCCGGGTCAGGCTGCAGCATGCCATGCGCCGCCCAGGCAGAGGCATGGTCCCAAGCCTGGGAGTGACGAAGGGTGGGGAGAGGGCGCGGGTCCAATGGAGCTCGCACACACATGGAAACTGTTCCCAATGACCATAAATCTGCCGTACGGGTGTCTGGCACCCTCATCTGCCCCACATGCTGGAGTGCTGGCTCTGGTGGGAGCGACGCCTGCAGACAGGGAAGGGCGGAAGAGGCGAGGACGGGCAGGAGCTGTCTGTATGGGATGTTAGCTCTAGACACAGAGGGAGGAATGAAATCTTGGGCAGTTCAGGTGTGCACGGGGGAAAGGCTCACCCAGGAGATGCCAAGCCAGAGCATGGCCCGCTGAAGGGCAGAGTGGAAATGGTGCCATACAGAAACCTCCCAGCTGGCCTTGGCACAAAGTACCTGAAGCAGATGTGAGCCCTCCGCTGCCTTGTCCTTTCAACCACGATCGTACCAAGTCTCAAGGACTGCGGCATCCTCTGCTCTCTGCACCCTCACTGCATTCAGCCTTCCAGGAGCTCTGTGTCTGCTCCGAGGTTCATTTTATCTGCAAAGAAGAAGAAAGATTTAAAGTGTATAAACTCTGCTTGCTGTCACAGTAGGTTAACAGGCCTTTCCCTCTTAGTGCACCATAAAAAAAAAGGTCTTTGAAGCGCATACTCTCAAACGCATCAAAGCCACGCTGC